TACCGTAGGGACCTCCTCTCTTCGAAGATCGTGGTAAATATTACAGATTTCCTGAGCCCCCGTGCTTGCAGATTTCAGCTGTTACCGCATCGGAACCTGATGCTTTCTCTCTAGAGCCTGGCTGCATGTCACCGACAGTTTTTGGAAGGGAACATGGGAGATCCAGATCACGCTTAAATTCCACTTAGGAGGGCTCACCGATGGCAGTGTGTGAATTTTACTGGGCAGATAACTTGACTATGAGACGGTAGATGGACTTAAAACAGGTTTATTGATAAAGCACCCACAGGCGTCATCAATATTCTTCCTTGATTTTGTTGATAGAGTGATCGCAATATCTGTGCGGTATTACCTGGACGTCACCCTTACCCCCGTTCTACGTGGTGTTCCCGTAGGCTCCGTCTTAAGACCGACCTCAATTTTCGTCCCTATGAATTCCTGAAAAAGACTTGAATTCAATATTTTATTCTCGTAGGCGACAAATATGAAGGCTACCAGACGTTTTTCCGCTTAGGTGAAACAGTAATCAAATATCCTAATTTATCATCAGTTCGGCTTTTTTATACATAATCAGTCTTAATGGACAAACCGCTGCTAACCAGGGGGGAGGGCTTATATTTTCTTGGTATGCCGACTGGATGCTAGTGTTTGAGCACGGCTTCGTGAGAAACTTTTGCCAAATTTAGGAAGAAACGGCGTTTTTCTGTTGATACGATATTTTGTAGCCAGCTTTCCTTGCGAACGTGATCCACAGATCAGAGCAGTTTTCATCTACCTCCGACAACGTAAATCGACTTCAAATTGCGACCCGAGACTTTTTCTGGCACAAATAATTCGTAGGCATGTGTTTTTCTTCTGCCCTTGAGAACACAATACCAATGCGTGTAATTTAGAAATTTTATCAAATAGACGGATATCCGTAAAAATATGCAGCAGTCTGATCTGTTAAGAGCATGGAATTTGTCAGCTTTTGTTGCCGCCTCTACTCTCTCTGTTAAGAGCAGATATATGTAGAAATCGATTGGCGTCATTTTGGAAACGAGTTATATCTTTCCAGAGATCGCGTCTTCCTCTTCTTTAAATCTGAAGTTTTTACTCCTCTTTGAGATGACGTCGACACTACGGAAATATCTGGAATATCCAAGAATCCTCGCACACAAGTTTCTATTCCAAAAATATGAGTATACGCGATCGACTCTTGAATTATTTTAAGCAAAT